AAGACCAAGAAGTCAAATGCTCGACTTTAAGATGTTTCAGTGCCAGAAGATCCAGCTATCACTCACATATTTTCACTACAGTAAAGAAACTCATGAAATCTAGCAAGCAAATCCAACCTGTGAGAAAAACAGGACACATCAGTAAAAGCACTTGCTTGGTCTTCTAAATCATTAAAAAAAAAATCCACATCACATTGTTAACAGCACTTGGATTATTTCTGCCAAGAATCACAGAGCTTAGAGTCAGAGAATGCAGGGAACAGCAACAGAAAATACCAGATGAATCAAAAGAATAGAAATTCTGGTCTACAGGTGAAATTGTATACAATAGTAATTGGTACAAATCTACTGCCCAAGCCTATTTCTCTTATTGCTACCTTTAATAAACAATAAAAATCTCCAAAACAATCTGCAATACATCATTGTTAGTGACTTACAATTCAGGCACATACATGCCCTTGCCTTGAGCGGCCGAGCTGATTCTGGAGCCGTCCAGCTCGTGGTGGTTTAAAGTACCTGCTGCTAAGTGAGAATCAGCAGGTACCTGTTATTACAACAGAAATCACTGCTCCACTGGCTCTCCTAGCAAGTATCAAGGACAACTACAGATCCACAGCTCTCCTGTAAATCCCATTTAGGAGACTACTTTACTGGGCAAGCTTCTGGTCTACAGCATCACAGATCCAAAACAGTTCCAAAAGAATGAATGTGTATGTGTGTAGTTTACCCTGTAGAAAAAAAACTCCATGCCAAGTAAGTTCCTCTTCCGGAGTTATTTCTCACTGTAAATTAGGCAGGATGAAGGTGTCGCTATGCTTAGAGCCATGCTGAAGTGCTTATTCTAAAGTGCTTGATGTGCAAATTTCCTATTGGGTAATAACAGGTCTTAGCTGTTTTCTTGCAGAGACTGTAGCAATATTGAACAAACATATGCCAAATACAGCTGAATCTCTTACTGTAGCTGACAGGAAGAGCAGGTGGGATAGACGTCCACATTCAAGCACTGACTTACCTATAATGATGCATTCGCTGCTGCCAGCCATGAACATGGAGGCTGTTTTGGAAGGCAAGTTGAAGTGCCGAGCAGATAAGAAGGGAGAAAGGCGATCCGAGGGATCTTCTGGGACAGTATGCGAGGAAAGAGTACTGGAAGACCCGGAAGCATGATTTTCCGGCTCGGAAACACTCATGGCTAGTTCGGGATGTTTTATTATCACCCATTCATAGCGTTCCACTTCAGGCTGTAGCTATATAAGGGAATAGAAGAGTAAACATGTAGTTAGTGAATATTTGCAATATCGAGAGCTCTGCTTCAGAATTGGCATTAAAACCCCCCAGACTCCAAACACACCATTAGCAGTAAAGATTAGACCATTTTATCTTTTAGGGTAGATTTTACTTTCTTCCTTTATCCCTTTGCCTTCCAGGTGGCCGAAGCGATGACTCCATGGTTTCCAAGTTACCTTTCCTGTAAGAAAATGCTCTGCACTTTTGGATGAAAAAAGGCTCATCCCAGAATTGAAAAGTCAATTTTTCCCTCCAGATGTAATTAAGAGTTCAGCAGACTTTAAAACCAGAAGGGCATATAACCCAGCTCAGTAGAAGGCAGGTGCGAGTTGTTACTCACATCAGTATTTGGGACAGTGAAAAATGAAATTTTACTCACCCTAAACACAAAGCACTCCCCTGTCCCAAAGAAACTCAGCTTGTTCCCTCCTCGCCTGCGCTCGCTCCAATCAGTTGACAGAAAAGCCCCGCAGACCTGGCACAAACAGCAAATTTAGGAGGAAAGAATGTTAAACCATAGTATGTTAAACGGCACCACCATTTTAGAGTCCAGAACAGCTCTATTTAGTTTGATTTTCCAAATCTCCAGGTCAGTGGATTAAAGCAGCACAAGTACTTATATCTAAAAATACATTTAAACTACCTTTGAAGAGGGAATCCTCTTCAAATATGAAGAGTGTCAAGAACGACTGCACACCTCTCAGGCCTAAAAAGAGGCGCAGCCCAACATAACCCCAGCTACCAAAATACAGATCACTCCAAATTTGTAAAGCCTGACTTCCACCTCCTCCTTTTCTTGCATTGGAAGCAGCAGGATTGTCCCAGGCTGAAAGGTCAGCACTGTTGACTGGGCATTTTCTGCTTGCATTTGCCTTGGGCATTGGTCTCTCTCCCAATTCCAAACTGCAGGTTAAACCTTGGCTAGCTAAAGCAGTGCCCAGCTAGTACAGGTACTGGAAACAGCAGCTTCAGAACAGCGTGTGCTTCAGTGGCCACTAGTTCCCTACAAAGAAAACATTAACCTCACAGCACTGAGCTTTTCTGTGGGCTTCTTTGTTTGCCCAAGAACTGTATCTCACTGCCAGCAATAACCATCACTGCCAAATGGAGACAGACCAAACAATACAGCTCTAAGAGTGAGATAAAAGCAACCCTACATTACAATAAAATAAAATAAAATAAAATAAAATTAAATTAAAATAAAAATAGAATAAAAATAAAATAAAATTAAAATAAAAATAGAATAAAATAAAAATAAAAATAAAGTAAAAATAAAATAAAAATAAAATAAAAATAAAATAATGTAGGTTTTGCAGAATTCTTCTAAGCTTCTATCAGCCTTACAAGCAGAACTCTAAGACAAAAATTCCTAAGGATTAGTTTTGTTACTGAGAAAGTAAGTAAAATTACATTTGGTCTGATATTCTCAAAAGATTCCTGAGCACAAGATTTTTTTTTTTCCTAAAATGTAATGATAAACATTGGAATAAAGGATGAAAGTTCCCCTGCTAAAAAATATAAAATGGAAAAAAAAAACCTTTTTCCTGCTCTTTTTTTTTTTGAGGGATAAGAATTGTAGCTATGCTGTAAAAATCTAGTAGCATTTATAAAGCTAGACTTTGTGACCTGCTCCAAGACAAGAGGAAAAATAATGTCTTGTATATTATTCCTCTCCCCTTTATGTATCCCAGGCATCATATCAGCCACTGGCACAGAGCTGTGAATCCACGCCCTTGGATTCAGAACTGGTAGGAAGACGAAGGGACCCTGCTTCATGGCTAGCCATCCTGCAGGAACACCTGCAGAAATACAGGCTTGCAGATCGCATTAATAGCTTTAAGCTCTCCACAAGACATTTAGGAGTCACGGACAGACAGCGGAAAAACAGCTCTTGTTAGGTGAGGCACTTGTGTGCAGTCCATCTGGGGTGCTGCTAGCACTGCATTTCCTTTAAGCAATCCTGAGGTGACGCTGAGGATTTTGTTTTCATGTTCCAGTGGACAATATTATTCATATCACTTAATATCTGCTATTTTCTGTGTGAGCTGGAGGAAAATATCTTCTATGCATCATGAGCTTCTTCCCACTCTTCCACAGCCTCTCCCTTCTGTTCCTGTGAGTAAGAGGCTGACCAAGAGCTCCATGAATGTCACTACAGTCCAGGATCCCACATTACTTACAGGGTGAAGATATTTAAAGCAGGAGGGGTAACTGGCTGAGGCCTAGTTTGCAAGATTTACCTAAGGAAGTGCAGTCTAGTAATCAAACTGTAAAATTTAAAGCACACATTAAAGAAAAAAAAAACCCCACAATTTCAAGACCCCTTACTTCTCTATTTTATTATGAACTGTTGTGTATTCAACATAGCATTAGGCGATTGCCTACAATTTAATTTTGTCGGTCAGCTTCACCTCGCTCACCTCTTTTGCTGTTGTCTTGATGAGGAGAAGAGTCGGTTCGTGCCCTTCACTGTGCGAGTAGAACCTGTAAGGCACAGCACAGCGTGAGCACCCCGCGGCCACCATCCCCTGCTGCTCCTGCTTTCCCTCCTCGGTGTCAGGCACTCCCTCGGCTGATGGCATGAACCGTGGCCCAAGACCACAGTGGCCCAAGACTAAGTATCTGTGAGTGCCATCCACAACCCCAGGGACTGCAAACAAAGATTATGAAGCAGTCCTTTGCCATTTGGTTCTCTGCACAATGAAGAGAAGACTCTTGATCACAACAGCTGCATCTTACAGCATTTTGCACTAGACAGGACACTCCCGTGTCTGCGTCTGAAGAGCCTCCTGTTTCCATAGAAGAACCATAGTTCTCCTTGTTTTTTCTCATGGAGCTGCGACAGCAGATACCTCCCGACTTCAGAAACAGAATTTCAGATACCAAAAGTCACTACTATGAGCTGAACAATTGCTATTATTTGGTTCCATCCCCATATGCATCTCCACATCTCCACAGCTCTTTACTGTGAGGGTGACAGAGCCCTGGAAAAGACTGCCCAGATTGGTGTGGAGTCTCCTCCACAAGCTCTCTGGCTGACCAGGGCCCGGGTGCCCCATGCTCCGGTGTCCCTGCTGGAKCAGGGGTCGGACTAGATGATCTCCAGAGGTTCCTTCCAACCTCAACCATTCTGTGATTCTCTGATTCTGTGAAGTGCAATGAAAACCCATGTCTCCTTCATCACATTTGCCCAGTTGCTCTTCTTTTATCTCACAGTAAAAAAGGTGCAGGGAACTTGTAGTTACCTGTTTAGGCTACAGCCATGTTCCAAGGTGGTGAAAAGCAGGAGGGGCTGGCAAAGCGCAAAGCGTTCCGGGATCCAGGACCAGATATCTCGCATCTCTTTCACACTCACTATTTCAGACTTGAAGTTCTCAGCATGAACTGCGAGGTGCACGTTCTGCCTGAGAAATACAAAGCAAAATATTGAGTAAAAAGAGCTGAATGGAAACGTAAAAACCTACAGTTTCTGGTTACTGGGTAGCAACATGCAAAGAGAGATGAATCCCGAAAGGCCCCAGTGTGTGCACCACTCTTCAAAGGGAATTAAAAGGCTGTTACTTAAAGAATAAAGTAAACTACTGGAGTCTAAGAGAATCCTTGAGAGTTGCTGGCTTTGCTGGAATAGCTGGAGCAACATCTCCATGTGGTAACAGTAGCCTGTGCTTGTAAATACAGAGGACATAAAGGCAAGCCAGTACCAGAGCCAGCAAGGAGAGTCGACTCCTAATTTTTAAACTCTCCAAAGTGACAACATTACAATTACAACATCTTGAGCAGTGTTCTCGTCTCAGCTTAAACACACGCACAAACTCAGTGCCTGGAGATAAAGAGGTGTTCCTGCCCCCACGACTCATGCTAAGGCCTTTTAAAATGCAATTCTTGCAGCCAAGTACAGGGTGGGAATGCAACACAAAGTTGTGCCAGACACAGAGGTACTGAGTGGTAGTTAGTTGAGCCAGCTTTGCAGGGTCTGCTTTGCAAGCCACCCAAGGGTTCAGCCTAGGCAAAGCATACAAGTGTTTGCCAAGCAATTCTTTTTTTCTGACACATGCATTTCCTTCTTCTCAGCTTCCCAGACTATAAAAGACCACCTCAATATTGCATACATCAGAATAGCTTAGCTTGCTCCCTAAAACATGCAATATTATATATATATATATATTTTTTTTTCTTGATTATATTATCAAGAAGTCATCAGCATTTCCACTGCTCCATAAAGCAGTGCTGGCTAGCAAAAATTGGGAAATGCTGCCTAAAATTTCCCCTAGGGGACTCAGCGTCAGCGTTTCTATCGAGGCACCTCCCTAGGTCACTCAGGAACTAAAACCATGCGGATTCCTCTGGGATCTTGCTCTGGGGCTCTGCCCTTCCTACCTTACTGGTCTGTAGCTATGGACTGGTAGCACTAGGGAACCCATCTGAGCAATAAATCCTTGGTTTTGGCTTTTTAGAAATTAGATTGGTCTCACATTTGAGGAATTACGAACACAGCCAAGACTTTCAACTAGTTTATTATAGTGGATTTCTGAAGGAAAAAAAGAAAGGAAATAAAAAAGATAAGCTAAAAATCAGTACAAATGTTATTAAAATAGTTTTAAACATACTTGCTAAGCTTCAGACAAACAGGTCCCAGGCTCATCACTTGCATGCTAACTCCATACTTCATGTTGAAGTAGATGTATTTAAGCACTAAAATTAAGTATTTGCACCCAGAAGCCTTTCCTTTGTCTCTGTTCCTCCTCCTGGCTGGCTAACAAGGCCTCTTCCCTATTGAAATTTTGCTCTAATCCATCGTTTCAGCAGCTTTCCTATTAAAACTCTACTTTTAACACCCTGGACAAGCCTACAGCCTTCACAGGATGGGAGATCAGCAGATCAGATCTACTTCAGTGGGGCAGCTGACTTTCAAAAGCAGTAAATAAGCCCTAAAAACGGGCATGCAAAACCAAAAAACCCACAAACTGAGTTTTGGAAATGTTGCTGGAGTTGGGGCAGAAGAACATGGTAGAAGTGACATGTTTTTCAATCATAAATCGCAGTTGTAGGTGTTTAAGCATGAAAGCTCATTTTGTGCTAAAAAGCTCATTTTATGCTAAAATGTGCAGTGTCAGCAGACCCTCTGTATCTACTGTGTGTTACTTAAAATTCATGCGTGTTACTTCAAAATTCCAGGCTTTCTGCTGCTTTCAGAATCTAGACGACAAGGGTAAAGCGATACATGGACTTTGAACATTTCACTGGGTGGAATTCACAGCCACGTAATTTACTGGAGGTAAAAATCTTCAGCATGCCGACTATGACATGAAACGTATTCTGTTAAGTTGCTCCTTAATGTTCTTTTGAACAGGAAAGCATGAGAAAATTAATTCCAACTTGGATTTTACAAGTTAGTGGAACTGTTAGCGCGCATCTCTCACCAAAGTTAACTCAGGGCACCCACAACGAAGCCAGAGGATCATCTCAAAGGCACTCCCTGGAGTTTAGGTTCACACATCTGCACTAATAAATACTCACAGGCCAAGGTTCCTCCTTCTTTCTAGGCTCTCTGCTTATCAGGGATCACAGTCCACTGATTTGTGTGCTTTAAGATTTGCTTTTCAGAGCACAACTTGATAAATGACTTCATTAACCATTAATGCTGCATGGCTGAGTAACTCTGACCTTTGCTACACAAAAGATAAAGTCTGTCTTCTTAAAAAATAATACGTACCTATGTAAATATAAATGTAATTTTGTACAGATAGAGGCAAGCCAAATTTAGGTTTGGGTTCCCTAATTGGGTTCAGTCCAGTATCTTCTCAAATAACCAGAAAAGTGTGTAGAAGAAAAAAAGGTGACAACAGCATAAAACAGGTCTGGATGTGGGCCAGTGCCTAATATTTCTGAGAACTTTATGTGTTAATTGAGATATTCCTCTCAAAAAAWTTTTTTTCCACAGTGTACAGGTCATTTAAATTCTATTGCAAAGACTAAACTTCTCCATTCTGAGAAACAACCAAAAAATGCCAAAACAAAAAACAAGCCTATATGGTTGTATGAAAGTGCTATGCTGACTAGCTTGGCCCGTCCATGAATCCTGAATCCATCCACGAATCCCAGGATSATACAACTTTGYAGGTGCTGTGAACTAACTTTGCAAGAACGTGTCTAAGAGAGAGTTGCACAGCAATTGGATGCTACAATTGCTGTCCTGCTTCTGTCGCCCCAGCATTAGAAATAAGAACAGCCTTGGAAAAAATAACTAGCCAAGCAAAGACAGGAAAAATAAATAAAAAAAGAGCCAAGTGCAAAGCTTGAAGTGTTTTAACCTACCTTTTATAAGATGTAACACTGCAATCAGGAGGGGTGCAGTGGGTAYGGAAGTGACAGAAGGAGAACGTAGAAGGAGAAAGACAAAAAAAAAAGACACGAAAAGATCAGTGATTTCCTTTGTCCGTGACAAAGTGATTGAGAAGAGCCTGGAGAGAAACACAGAGTAAGGCTAGATTTGAATCACCAAGAAAGTAAGGAGAGGGGAAAAAAATAGAGAAGTTAAAATATTCCTTTTTTTTTTTTTCCCTTTTTCCTACCTGGGCAGAGGTATCTGGGAAGTTATTCATCTTTGTCCATAGGCCAAGCACATGTGGACATCGGAACTCATTTTCTTTTGAGCGTTCAAGAAATCTCACTGCTGGGGTACTCGCTCTTGCCTATGTCAAAACCCAAATCCAGCCTAGTTCACAGCTGTGATCTTCCAGGGGATTATTAGAAGTTTTAGTGGGTTTACAAAAGCAGTTAAGAACAAGGAAAAGCTACGCATTACCAACTCTGCCAGGTGTGGCAGGACCTGTTGTTTGTAAGTTTGCCTACTTACAAGTAAAGAAACTACACAATTTAAGATATTAGACAGCATGAAATTGAAGTTTTGTACAAGCAGTCTCACATTTAAGAGATAATCCCATCGACACTTAATTTTGCACTTTTTCTAATCAAGTCTTCAAAGCAAAAGAGTTAGAAGAGATACAAGCAACCACTCAGGCCTGCCCGAGAGCTAATCACAACTAATGGCCTCGTTTCCTTGGGGGTCACTCTGACCCCCGAATTTGGGAGTCTCCTACCTCTTCTGCTTGACTGTGATGCCCTTCTGCTGTAGGGCCTTCTCGTTGGCCATCTGCAGGAGCTGGATCTCCTTCCGGGAGAAGAGCCGGATTGCAAAAGCTTTTTCCAAAAGCCGCTCGGGGGTGACCGACTTGGCAATATCTCTCACAAAGGACCGAATATCCTGCTGGATGTTGTCCGACTCCTTGGGCTGCCCGGCTCGGACTTTGTGAAARAACTTCAGAAGAGCCAGTGCAACACGGTAGAGAACCTTGTAGCCCTCCACCAGAAACACGTCAAAGACACGAGCAATGTAGACCATGGGCAGCTCTCCAAAGAGCCAGCGCTGCCAGTCAGAGTAGACCTCCAAGACATCCTCAGACACGGCCACCATCAGCTTGTGCGCCGCCTGGCAGTACTTGTTGACCAGATCACCAAAGGTCATGCAGGAGGACTCGAAAGCTAAKAAGGTCTGGTCAATGAGGCGCTTGGAGGGGTCGTTGCAAGCGAGGATGCGACAAACCTTCTCRAAGCACTCGGCCTCGTCCCTGCTGTAGTGCAGGAGCAGGGCTGTCACGGAGGGCAGCGCCGGACAGAAGGAGATGTCCGGGAACTGGTTTGCGACGCACAGGATAATCTTCCTGACCGCCCCGATGCCTTCGGCGTTCAAGCAGTAAGTGGGAACCAGGCTGTTATCCACGAACTCCGGCAGCGGAAGGGAGCTGCTGCTCCGCTTTCCGATGATCTTTACCACAATGTCCCGGTACACGTTTGCATCCGGAGTCACCGTGCGGCACGGAATATTGTTGATTAGTTTGTGGTACACCTTGGCTCTCAAAGAGTGGCTCTTGGCCCAGTAGCCCTGCCGAGCCAGCTGCTTGAGCTCCTGGAATTCGGAGCAGCTCAGCTCCTTTGCATCTTGGCTCTGGACAGTCACGTCCATTTTCTCCCAATCCACAAAGCGGTTGTATTCATCCATGGCTCCAGGAAAAGCAGATAAGAAAAATCATGAGAGTGGAGACCTTATCTGGTCTTTAGGTGGCTCAAAGCTTCTCCTACAAGATGGGAAAGGAAAAGAAATTCAGAGATGCGAGTTACAGATAATTTCCTATTTACGTCACAAACATAAACGTTCAGCTCACTCCTGCACCAAGACTGTTTTTCAAAGCAAAATAAGTTAGAGGCATGCTTTAAAAGCAAAACAAGCACGAAAACCCCAAGCTCATTTCTATTTTCATTACATACTTGCCAAAACTCATACTGAAGTAGTCTAGCAAAGGCCAGCCCAGATGCAGCTCCCGTGGACACCTCAAGGAGAAACGAATTTCYGCCACGCGGCCACAGCCTGAGGTTAGTTTGCTGCTCTGGAACTTAGAAACTACTTGCTAATTTTCTCTCGTGTCTGCACGGTACGTAGGACCCTGAACTTGTGCTCCTATGGCCACATCAGCCTCTAGAGGGCCCGCTCTCCTCAACGTTTAGAAGGTCTTTTAAAATGCAGCCCACTGCAGAGCGCAGGACACTTGATGCTGCAGACTCTGCAGAGCAAAACGGTCCCTGCCACACGCAACACTCCGCTCTTTAAACCTGGTATTTTTTGCAACGGGTGCTTCAGCATGGTTTGAAACTCATAAGATGGCTATACAGTCAAGGCAGACAACTCCAGGCTTTTCCCTGCTTCACTACTGGGAAAATAAAGCCAATGTTTTGCCTCATGTAGGCAGAAATTAGCATTAGCATGGACAAGATATTTAATCTAGGTAGTTTTAGATGCTGGCTAAATAATAATCTGGGTATTTTGGAAGCATATGCTGAAATTTTAAAGCTTAACTCTTCTTTTAAAGTATGGCAGCAACACAGAGGTGCCTTTCAGCAAAGTGTTAAGGACAGATCTTCACTTACAAATACTTTTTTTTTTTGTACTAAAAAGATGCCTTTTTGGGTTGTCTTTGTAAAGGCTAAGAGCCACTGAGAAATACCAATGCTTGTTTCTGTTGTACCCTTCATTGTCTGAAATTAATTCTCAGCCTGTAATTAAAGGTAACACATTGCCCCTATTTCAATTGTGARAACAGGACATCTGAGGCTGGAAAAGATGTGTCTCATGTGAGTGGAGAATGAGTCCTCAGGATATGCAGAGACATCCCTGGGAGGACAACAGTCCGTTGCAGAATCTGGAAACCTGGAAGACTTTTTTTTTTTTTTTTTTCCCTTCATTTTGTCATGGAAACCACAGGGAAATTCATCACCATTAGCTGAAATCTTGGATTGCTCTTACAGAGAAAATAAATTTAATCCTGTCTGGTTATATGAGTTATCTTTCTCCGTGGAAGCCACTATTCTGGAAGCAAATGGATTGGATGAGCATATGTTCCTCAGCAGCTTTCCAAAGTCAGTGGAAGGGATAAGGAAAGCTGACTGCAAGAATCTGGGATTAGAGCTCACAGTCTTACATACCCTTTGGCTTGGAAAACCTGCTGGGTGCGCAGGTGGGGCTGGCTGCTTACACTGCTCCAAGCCCTAGGTGCCACAAGGGCCGAGGACAGCAAGGACAGGGGCACTGCCAGGGCTGACGAGCATGACCAGCTATTAAACGTACCCACAAAACCAACAGAATTAGTGTGTTTCAGTGCAATGATGCCAAACCACGGATACTGGGCCACACAGCTACCCTAAACCAGCAGCTCTCCAGCTGGGAGTATTTATTTGCCAGAGGAGAAAAGCCTAAGAAGCCTTGGGAAAATCCCAGCTAGCCTGTTTCTTCCAGTGCCACCTGCTTTTCCTTCTCCTTCCAATGATGTTCTTTCCCTCAATCACAGATGTTCTTTACACGAGTTCCTGGCAATCACGTCAAGGGCAACATTTCCTTGGAGCTGATGGGGACAGAAGATTTGTCCCCACATCCGGACTGTCCAGCTTCCTCATAGGGGAAGGGGACAAGGTGCAGCCAGAAGAGAAACAAAAACGAATTTCAGAACAACCTGGCTGCACAAAGATATGGTTCAGGATAGGCACCAGGTCCCCTTTCTATCTCCTCACTGCAACAAGTCTCCTTCCCTCCTGCTGAAGGAACACTGGAGGATTTAGCACCATATTGTGGCCAGTAACCTCGAACTGGACCTAGGGATAGCAGGATGGATCAGTACCTAAATTATACAGAACTGCAATGCTTTCAAGTACCTGTGAAGACATGAATGTAAAGGGATTGTTAAACTCAAAACCAAAAAAGTTCAAGCAGTAACAAAGACTAAAAGTTACCTAAACATTATCTACTTTCTTTAAAGGAARGATTATCCTTCCCAGAGTCTGACTTGTACAAAACATGAAGAATAAATGCAGAAGAAAAGAACAGAGGCAGCAGAACGAACTATTTTCTCAGCGACTGACAAAGAAACAAAAGCTTGTTAGGTCTGTTAGACTATAACCTAAAAGCCTGAAGCTCCATTTAGTGCTATATTAAAAAAAAAAAAAAAAAAAAGACTAAGAGTTAGACCTATAAAACCTAGGTTGAAAATGCACCCCAAAGAGCTGCAGAGCAGGCATGAGATCTTTTTCAAGGTTAAGTCTAAACTATGCAGCAAACAAATAATCATTAAAATTCAAAACCAGGCAATGACTGTGGCGACTGACACTGGCAGGTTTTCAAGGCAGTGACTAGAAGGGTTCAGGAAATATTTCGCTCGCTACTCTGGCCACATTTTCCACTCCAGCCTCTTTAGTCCTTTCCCTCATCCTTTGGGCTACTTTCAGACGATGCCCGAGTACGTTGTTGGAGCTGGGTAAAACAGACATCAGYGGAGCAAAGTACAACAGACCAGGGTGGGATACGGCCGGCAAAGAATTAAAACTTGAAAGGATCCAAAGATACGTCCRTATCAGAGAGAGASAGAGACAGACAGAGAGAGAGAGATTTGAATCATAATTTAACTAAAAACTAGTAAGTTTTCAACTTTGTCTTTTGACATTTCAAYCACAGAAATATATATATTTTTTCTTTTTTTCAGGCAACCAGCTTTTGCTTTCCAAATATTGAATTGAGACATCTGGATTACAACTATTTCAGAGTGCAACCGTTCCTTGCAAATCCAGAGTACACACATACCTAGTGAAATAATGACATTACAAACTGTCCAAAAAGAGATACCAGCTTTGATGAAAGCCTGAGATCCTGTGATCTAATACTGCTTTAAATAAACATAGAACAGATGCCCCCAAACTGTAAAATASACTTGGCATATGCAAGTACAAACTTGTTCCCTCTTCAAGTGTCCTTGCACTCACCTTCTGCAAGTTTGACAGCAAGTTAATAGCTTATTAAGTTCTTTTATTTACATTCAATATACCTGCTATATGGAATGCTATAAGAAGAAATCTGAATTTTGAAATTAACTGTTCTTGTCTTCACCAGGGACAGTAGCTTTAAGGACTACTCTGTAAATATCCTCCATTTACCTATTTGCTCTGTACTGTAGAAGAGCAGGAAGGCATTGACCTGTGTGGCACATTTTTATAGTGTGCCAACAGAAAGCAAATGTTTTCTTTTCCTGTCCTACAAATAAAGACTACTGCTGACCTCTCAAGTCAGCACAGAATACATATATATATATATGTGTGTATATATATATAACACTTAAAAATCTAGTAAAGGTTCAAAGAAAAACAGAAGAACGTAAAGACATTATGATAGCGCAGAAACAAGACAGCTCCTAGTTTCTCCTTTCTTACTCAACACTTTGGCACGTCCTGCAGCTTTCTCTGGATGCAGATTCCTAGCACTTCATATCTCTGCTATATAGATCTGGAGATAACGTTTGACAGCGCCGTGCTCTCCTCACCCCACCACACACGCTTTACGTGCACGTTTACAGCTCCAGTCACTACCTGTGGCCCGGCAGGTTGCAGCAGAGCTGGAATTAAGCGCGCCGTTGAGCCCCGAAGCCAGCGCGTGCGGCGCGCGGCAGCAATCTCGATGCTGTTGACATATTGCAGCGCGATGCTCCCTTCCAGCAGGGCACACAGGAGCTCGATGGATCGCCTTAATGAGGCTAAATGCAGTTCGATTGCTTAGAAATTGCCCCGGGCGCTGTGCACAGCAACAGCTGGATCCCAAGCCAGCTTCAGGGAATGAAATTCAGCTCCATTCAGGGAATCCAGCTCTGGGGAATGCGCCAATACTGCTTTATCAACAGCAAGAGAGGGTTAGTTATTTGTTTCCCACAGTTTTTCTGAATTCCTTAGGGACCAAGGCTAGAAGCCTATTGTATCAAAATAAGGATTTACCTCTTGTTTCTGTGAGAAACTGATAAAGACTGATACAGGACAAGCCATTTCAAATCTCTTGTGGGAAAAAAAAAATGAAAAGACATTTTTGTAAAAGGGGAGAAAGAAGAGAGAAACACTGTAAGAAGATGTAGAACAGTAAATGTTATCAAAAGCATAAATCAAGAGCTTCTGTCCTGCCTCCTGCCTGAATCATAACAAAAAGGAGGAATAATTAAAAATGGGATCATTCCCCCCCCCTTTTTTTCCCCACATGTTGCATTCATTAATTTAAAAGAACAATTTCAACAGCTGCTATAACAAGAGTTAAAGACTAAACTTTTTGTGAAGAAATGTATAATGGCATACTTTTTTTCCCCTAAAAAATATTCCATTTCTTGACCAGGAAACAGGAATTAGCATGTGCAATCCTGCCACCAAATGCTACTGAGATAGATGGGCACTGCCCTAGCTTATGCCAGGCATACGTGGTGATGAGCAATGAATTTCACAAGCAAAGCTGTGCCACCCAAAAAGGCCCCTCTGATGGCAAAATTCAACAACGGAATGGGGAGATCTCTGTGCTCAGACGCATACAGAAGCACAACCATGAAAATACAAACTCATTTTCTTAAAGGTTTACAAAGATTTTCTTTACCTCTGCTGCTTGAAAAGGACACTCCTGAAGGTGGGAAAGTTAAGTCTTCCTGTTCCCTGTGTGGAATGCAAGAGAAGCAGATATTCACACTCTACACCCGGCCAGTTCTACCATGAATTGAGCTCAAGAAGGTGTAATAGGAAATCTGGGGAAAAAAAATCAAACAAACAAACAAAAACACACAAAAAAACTCCTAGATTTGAAATATAAGACTCCAGGCCCGCATTTTATGAAGTTTTATTTACAATATTTAAGCACAGACTGAAAAATGGAAAATACTTCTCCAGCAACTGCCACCAGTACAATTCCCCCAGTTTTAAGGCTCCAAAATGGCATTTCATAATTTTGGGAAAATTCTAAAAATAGAACAGCCACATCAATCCATTCTTTCTGCTGTATTCCTTGCATTTTATTGCTAATTGTAAGAAGGACACTTACATAGTCTCTCACACTATGCTCTCCTTCCCTTCATTTTGATAACTATGTCACATTCTGGCTAGAGTAAAAATTTAACAGTGAATATATTCAGCCTTTGTTTTTTTCCCCTTGCTCTTTCTTAAACGTCTCCATTAATATTTTTCCAGATTTATGTCTGCATTCTCATGTACAACTAAAGCCACCCGCTGCAGCTATTCATAGAAAGCTCTATCATGTGACAGCAAATCCATAAGCAATAAAATAAATCTCTTTTTTTTTTTTTCTCTTGCGTTGAAAGCTATCTGTCAATTTGATGTCCATAAACTCTTGGTCTTTATCGATAATAAAGCACTAACAACAGAAAAATGCCTTTACACATCCATACTTTAAAATGTTCTCCCRTGAGACACAAGATCTGCATTTGCCTACATTAAATACAGATTTATCTCCCCTTCTGCTATGCAAACTGTCTCAGCAAGAAGTTCACGCAATCGTGTTTCACGTTTAGAGTTTCAGGATTTTACAAGCAGCAGATACAGTTGCAGGTCCCACAAGAGGTCATGCTGACAGGGGAGGGACCCTTGACAAGGAGCATTGTGTGTGCAAACGAGATAACTTTGTTGCTCACACRACTTAAACCAGTTGATTCTGCAGTGGGACACGGCCCGCGTTTACTCCCACCAATACTCGTGGAATGCAAGAGAGTCAATCATTAATACAGCGCAAATAGCTCTGCCTGTTTTTATATCAGAAGGGTCGTGTGACTGCCTGGAGAAGTAGGAAGGGGCTGAAGGGGCTATGGACTAGCATCTCTTCCATAAAATCTAAACATCACAAAATGACAGCAAAAAATCCACTAGAATATTCCAGTTAAATTCAACAATAAGGGATTTCACAAATAATTATGTCAGGTATTTAAAGGAAATTTTAGTTCTTTAGATCTCAGTCACAACTTAAGGCTATATAGAGATTTTTCTTCWGGATCTTCAACACATTTCACCCATTTCGAGTGTTAAAATATGCCTGCCTGTTTGTTAGCGTGCACCCACATAACCTTACACAAGTGGTTTTAACAGGCAAGTTAAAAGTTAAAGTTAAAAGTTTCTCCAACCAAGCAGGCAGGGCAGAATGTGCTCTAAAGAGCCAGAATAAGAGCAGGAAACAATTTCATAGCAAGAAGAATGGCAAGAATAGCAAAAGAATAGCAAGAACCAATAATTTGCTGTTCCCTAACCCTATCTAGTTTGCAGTTAGTTATCTAGCAACCTAAATGGCAGAGGTGAACAGGGGAGGGAGATCAGCTCAAGATTTTAGATTAAAAGAATTAAGGAACAAAGACAACCAAGGAGAGGGGGGGGGAAAAAATAATCAAGGCTCCAGTAAGAAGAGAGGGTCGGGAAGAGCAGACTCTCCTCTCCAGGTAGGGCTCGTTCATAGACAGCTCTTACAAACATTTACTTGGCAACTTTTTAATTATTAACGGTATAAGGAGAAGCAGAAAGTTGCTTTCCCCTATGTTTGAATTTTAGTCTCAAAAAATCTGCAAATTGTCAGATATTAATGATATAGGATTAAAAAGGTAAAAAAGATGCCAAATARTGCAGTACGGCGCCAGTGCCATCTGCAAACTGCCCGGGACAGGGGGTCTCGTCTCACCTGGAAGCAACACGGAGCTGACAAAACCCTGCTGACAAACCCCAAGTTATCAGCGCCGTCCCTGAAAAGCAACTCTTTTGGAAAACTGCTGCATCAGATTTCTGCCCAACTGCCAGCGAATGCACAAAGCAGCAAACCCTCATTACTGGGAAATCCTCATGTTTGGCAATACAGAGCCCTGGGAGCTCGCCACGTTCTTCTGTGGAAGTACCTGGGTACTTCAACAATGCTATTGGGACTGCCCGTAATTCAGGACAAAAATAAAAAACGGGAGATGCTGCAGGAACTGAAATAGACGGCAGGACACAAGCTTAAAAGACGATATATTTCTGTGTGGAGATATATATCCCTTCCCTCCTTGCAGCTCACAGAATCACAGAATGTTCAAGGTTGGAAGGGACCTCTCGAGATCATCCAGTCCAACCTTCCTGCTCCAGCAGGGACACCCAGAGCACGGGGCACAGGGCGGCATCCAGGTGGGTTTGGAGACCTCCAGGGAAGGAGACTCCACAGCCTCCCTGGGCAGCCTGTTCCAGGGCTCTGTCACCCTCCCAGTGAAGARGTTCCTCCAGGCCTCGCTCTACTGCGTGTGCTCGGTTATCCGCCGCCCTTGGGGACGGCCGGGACAGGCTGAGGAGCATYGCGGTCCTCACGTTCCAGCCCCAAACCTGACGTTAAGCTAAACACCGCTCAGGCGGGCAATAACGCTCGCTCACTTAAGCGCCTGCCGTGTATACATAAACATGGATTCGGAGAACGTTTCCTAGATAAAGGCTAACACAAAAACAAAGCAAAGGGATRATTCTCCTTCCCAAGAGAGGTCTCAGATCCCTCTAGGGAGACACTGCCGAGCAAGACCTTGGCGCCCGGCGGGGGTTGATGTAAATACTCACATAAATGCTCACCGGGCAGGACCGGTCCAGCGGACCCGGATCGTGGACCGGCACCAGCAGCGACCGGCAGCCCCGGGACTCTTCCCCACGTCGCACCTGGGACGGGAAACACTGCGGAGCAAGGCGACAGGAGAGCACCTGCACACCGGCACCGCAGGGCGCCACTTAAACACCCGCTTTGAGTGCGAAACGGGCGTTTAAACGGGCGCAGCGAGGCGGGGGCGCGCGGCTCGGGGCCGCGGCCCGGCTCGGG